CATTGGCTTCAAAATACCACAACTGGAGACTTATGATGGGACAAAGGATCCCGATGATCACCTGCATGCTTTCTACTCTTGCATGCAAGCTCAGAACGCCTCTGACGCGTTAATGTGCAAAATCTTCCCCTCTACTCTGCGAGGTAATGCTCGAACCTGGTATTACAGTTTACCCCCGAGGTCAATTAGTTCTTACACAGAGATGGCATCTGCATTTGCCACTAAGTTTTCCAGTAGAAGGTTGATTAGGAAAACTACCACTGAATTGATGCGAGTTAAACAAAGGGACGAAGAGTCTCTAAAGAACTACATGAGCAGGTTCAATGATGCGGTGTTGGAGGTTAGTTCCTTCAACCAAGCTGTGGGTATTGCAGCTGTAATTTCTGGTCTCAAATATGACAGGTTCAGAGACAGTTTGATCAAACATGCTGCCACCACCTTCAGCGAGGTGAATGATAGGTCTCTCAAATTTATAACTGCTGAGGAATACGCCCTGGCACAAAACCCACCTTCCTCTAAGAACCAGAACCCAGAATGGAGAGATTACAATCCGATCCGGAAAAGGATAAGAATGGCGTAGAACCGAGGTCCGATGTTGACCTCCCCAACAAGATTCGGAAGGATGAACTCAACTCCCCCGCAACAACCTGTAGGTAAACCTCCAGTTAATTGGACTCCCTTTAATCTGCCGAGGTCACAAATTTTCATGCAGATAAAAAATAAGATGGACTTGAAGCGTCCTGGCCCAATGCGAACTGCTGCTGCTAGTCGAGACCATACTAGATATTGTGATTTCCACCAGGATCACGGCCATACTACAGAGCAGTGTAACAACTTCAAGGAGTCCGAACTAGAAAGTTTAGCTCAGAAGGGAATGCTGAATGAGTATGTTCAGAGAGCTGAGCAACCGAGGTTTGTCAGAGAGCAGAGGCCGCAGCCTCAAGGAGTCCGCAATCCCCCAAATAGACAAGGTGTGGGATATCAGCAAGCCTCACCTCCACTCCCACCACCAGCTAGAATCATACATATGATTACGGGAGGCCTTGAAGCAGGTGGACTGAGCTCTAAACAGCGAAAGCTGTATGTCAGAGAAGTTAAGCATCAAAATCGAGCTCAGAAGCGGAAGATTGACGATGCTGAGTGGAAAAATCAGCCCATTACTTTCGCATCTGCTGACCTCGACACAGTTGTTACACCCCACAATGATCCTCTGGTCACTTCCGTCATGATCAATAACTGTGAAGTACAGCGTGTCCTTGTTGACACCGGGAGTGCACCAGACATCATGTATTTCCACTGTTTCGAGAGTCTAGGACTAGATCCAGCTCTGTTGCAGAAGTATGATGGTTCTATCTATGGTTTCAACAACCAGCCTGTTCCGGTAGAAGGAGTTCTTACTCTCCATGTGGCTTTTGGAAGTGGCAGAACTTATGTAACCCCGTCGGTCCGGTTCCTCGTCGTCAAAATGGCGTCCTCTTTCAACATTGTTATTGGTCGACCCACATTGACCGAAATCCGAGCTGTGGTTTCCCAATCTCACCTCTGCATGAAATTCCCCACTCCTATGGGAATAGCAACATTGCGAGGAAACCAGGAGGTGGCCAGACACTGTTATATCACCTCGGTAACACAACCAATGAAGGGCAAAGATAAGACACCCGAGGTCATTCCCCAGCAAATTCACGATAATCAGCAGGTTATGGGTGTAGAGATCGTCGATAATCGACCGGAAGATGAAACCAGAACTGCTCCGGTTGAAGATGTTGAAGAAATACTCATTGATGACAGAGATCCGAGCCGAAAGACACAGATCGGAACTAGATTGAGCCCAGAAGAAAGAGCAGAACTAATAGGCTTTCTTCGAGCTAATATTGATGTATTTGCATGGACCTCGGCAGACATGCCAGGGATTCCAAATTCAGTCTCTCAACATAAGCTCAGCACCAATCCATTGAAAAAACCAATGGCCCAGAAGCGGCGTCTCTTCGGGGGTGAGATGCTTCAAGCTATTAAAGAGGAGGTAACAAAGCTCCTACAGGCTGGTTTTATCAGGAAAGTTGATTACTGTGAATGGGTGGCTAACCCAGTTCTAGTGAAAAAGGCAAATGGC